AGTGTTCAAACATTCATTTTCTACACCAAGAGTGTTACATCATTCCTATCAGATTTGTACATCAGTAGCTGATGATTCACATTCTAAAGCAGATTAAAAAAACAAAACAGGGCGCAACATAACCCCAATTTCCCCTCATCTACTCTGCCGACAATGATTTGAAATTTGTGGTGGCGGCTTCTTTTATAACCAAAGAAAGCACCGGTGTCCTTGGCTCAAGTAAAATCAGTTTACACTCTTAGCAGAGCCAACTCAAAACTTTTACACTGTCTGAAAGATGCACCTTATTTTACTGGGAAAGAATGCCACAACAATAGGTAGCTCTATTTTAACCAGAAATTATTTATTTACAAGGGAAGATCCAGGGCAAAACTTGCAGAACTCAAATACCCCCCCCACACACACACTTATCACAACTTGTATTTGGGCCTCGGTCACTTCTGAGACCTGATTCCTTGCCATGAATGTTGGAATAGCTACTGCCATAAAACATTTTATATTGCTGAATCACAATTCTGCAAAATGTTTGTAAAGCTGCTTGATGTCAATAGCACCGTCATGAAGCACTGCTATCATTATATAATCTAATAGTGAACTGGATGGCTCATGGCAAGCATGAAAGCAGCAAAATGAGGCCACCCATAGAAAAGACAGGGGTTTCTGTCTACTGAGGGAGTTGCCACTAATGTCAAAAATATGACTTTGTAAATGTAAAAGAAAATCCTAAACAGACTTTTGAGGACTGGGCATACCCCAGTACACTTGGAATGCTGAAAGCAGTTGATAGTTAAATGGGAGGAGGGAAATAGAGGGAAAGGGGAACATAGCCCCTGAGTGCTTAAGCCCCTGAGTGCTGGTTTGGCTCTCAGACCCCCTCATTCTGAACCCAGCACTGCATTTCTAACTGTAACTAAAAGCCCCAGATTTAAAAATAAACAAAGAACTCATGGTGAAATCAGATTCTGAGACCCTGGACACGTCTCATAGAGTATACTCGGTAATAATTTCTCAACAGTCATCCCATATGGCCGACAGAGTTCATATGGTGTTCACATGCATAAAATTGTTCCCATACAAACATCGCACCCTGTGTAAAAATCTTACAGTGCAATCTTGTGCAGAATTACTCCATTCTAAGCCCATCCATTTCTGTTGAACTGAGAGCCTTTCTCTTTGATATGGAAGGGTTTAACATATGGTGTGATTTTGCAAACAAATGGGCCCTTTTGTGAAATGTCAGGTGGGAGGATTGGGTTATGTCAGAAAATTATTGTTTGGATGAGGGCTTGGGTAAATGCTATCATCAGCATATGCTCCTTGTCCATGAAAAGGGAGCCAGCCTTGTAGTGAGGCCAAACAGCATTATAAAGCTGAAAGTAGAAAGGAGAGAGGGAGAAATAATTAGTTGTAGGATAAGTGATAGTGTGTTCTGAGCTGCACAGAATTTTTAAAAAGACACTGTTGAGCTTATCTTCCATTCTTAGTAACACATTGTAATTGGAGACCTGTTTCTTGCCTGGATTCTATATTATAGAACACGTAACAATGGCTCAGCCCTGACCTGGATGGCCCAGGCTAGGCCAGTCTCATCTGATCTCTATAGCTAAGCAGGATTGGTCCTGGTTAGTACTTGAATGGGAGACCACCAACAAAGTCGAGAGTTGCTACACAGAGGCAGGCAATGGCACACCGCCTCTGTTTGTCTCTTGCATTGAAAACCCTACGGGGTTGCCACAATTCAGTTGTGACTTGACAGTACTTTCCACCACCCCATTCAATGACCAAGCCAGAGAGAAGCAAACTTTTTGACAAGAGTGCTGAAAGATGTTCATGCACCAGCAAACCTTGGGGGAGGGGGATGACGGTGTACTTGATTCGAGAGACTTGGAGCCAGATGAGCCCTAGGGGCACTACTGGCAGCTCAGGAGCTTACCCAGTGCAGGTCTGGGATGCCACAACAGGTACAAATCATGCCTAATGACTATGCCGCCAGCTCTGTCATCACCTTAGGGTCTCACCTTGGTTGCTTGGAGGGAGAACTGGATCTCCATGCTAAGCAAAATGGTTCAACATGCCCCTGTTTGGCACATGTACCAGAGGCTGCCAATGCCTACCCCTGACCTAAACCTTCTTCGATTAGAATGGACTACCAGGATGACTATAAAGCTGAAACTGCCAGAGGATGTTGTGACGAACTGACCTCCAAAACCAGGATGCTTAGTGCACCAAAAGCAGAGAGCTAGGAGATTAGGGGTTAATGCCTCACTGTAAAGCCCAGTTTGATTGACAGGCTGCTGCCTGCGTGCACCCCCTGCTCTCTGATTGGTCAGCACCAGCTGAGGAGCGCTTTCAAAAGTATAGTCAGTCTTGTCAGAGAGAGTCAGTCCTTGTTTGAACTTTGGCTTAGCAATAGCAAGTCAGGAGGAGTGTATGTGTTGCCAGGTCCCCGGGGGGGGGGCGGGGATACCCATGCTCGATGGGTTTGTTCCCTGGTGGCCCGGATTGGGACACTGGGGGGAATCCCACCCCCAAAGTGCTGGGAGCACGGAGACAAGTCCCGTGTGATGACGTCACCCAGAGGTATGCTTACCCAGAGGTATGCTCACCCAGAGGCATGCTTACCCAGACGTCACCCAGAGGTATGCTCACCCAGAGGTATTCCTTACAACAACAATTGTTGTTGTAAGGAAAAAATGGAGGATGGGAAAACAATGTTGTCATCCACTTTTGGTCCCCTACTACGGAGAAAAGCAGGATATAAATATCTAAATAGAGACATGTGTAGCTCTTTTACTCCTTACTCTTATGAGCAGGCATACTGAGGCCCCGGTCACATGGGAGGTTTAGGGCCAGAAGAGGGATGGATCGGGGGAGCAGCAAACGGGCGCTATCCCACCGCAACATCTGGGAAGCGGCGCGCACCCGTCCCTGATCCGGCCCTTCAGGCCGAAAATCTGCAGGGAAAACAAACCACCTACAGAGGTGGACTTACCAGAAAGGCGCGGCAAGCGCGGCCGTGGGATCGCCGGCGCGTCCTTCTGCAGGTGCATCCGAGGCTCCTGGCCGAACTGTGCATGCGCACACATGCGCAGCCAGCTGCCTCAGTCTCCCATCGGTGGCTTCCTCCCCGGCATCTGATCCTGCCGTGGAGCAACGGTGTGGCGGCTCAGGGGATCTGTGTGATCCCGCAGCCGCGTGTCTCTTTTGGTGCGGCTCTGAATAGCCGCACTTTGGCCGTGTTTTTTTCTGCCATGTGGCAGGGGCCTGAGGCTACAAACCTTCTGTCCAGTCCTACAGGATTCATTCCTCAGCCCCTTTACAGGTTTCCCTGTCAAGCAGCCCAAGTGCAGGGGAGGAAAGATTTCTTTTTCTAACTGTCCCCAGTTACTGTCATCACTATATAAATGACAACTCATTGCTTTTTCATCACAGCAGCATCTGGCAACTGAAAATCTGAAAACCTGTTCTTCTTGGAAGCTGCCTTTGTCTTGCTGATTGGATTGGCAGGGGACAGTTGGGGATATCTGACCCTTTGCAAGCAATAAAAAAGGAGCACAGCATGTTTTTTGATTCTCTTGCCTTTTCATTTGTAAAAAAACTGTCAGCAAATTGGGGAAAGGCAGGGTTGTCTTATGTGTGTGAAAATACTGCTATGACCATCTAACCTCCAAATTGAATAATAACCACATAATATATGAAAAGGCCTTTCCAGTTGCTTCGTATCAGTCATTTAGAAACACAAGCTGCTGCTGTTCACAAATTCATCTGCTATTTTGTTCTGAGTCCTGAGCCATTATTGTAAATAACAGAACTGGTGTATGTAAGATTCATTGTCTCAAGCCAATGATATAGATAATTAAGTTCAGGAAAAAAGACTCAGGAGTTAGCAAATCTTTCCAGCAGCCAAAGCAAGCCCCCCCCCCATCAGTTGGCAATACTTCACACCATAACGGTGCCACAAGAGTTACCACATTATTTCTTTCACCTCTAGCCCTTGTTATGATTTATTGCTCCTACCTTGTGTATTGATAGAGAGCACTACATGTGATCATCTCAGTATGTGTGCCTGCTATTTTGGATAAATACAGCATCACACTTATTTCCCACCTTTAGTACACACAGTCAGAAACCCAGATGACTGAGGGTATACATTCAGGCATGTCAAAGCTGGAAAATGCACACATTGCCCTGTTCACACAAAATGGTGAACACATGTATCAAGAGCATACTCTCTCCAATACAGAATGCCAAAATCATGCCAGGAAAGATCACAGTGGTGTGAGAGGAAAAAATCCAATAGGTGAAGTTTCTGTTGCCATGGAGCTGCAATGATGGGGAAACTAACACCTGCTGAATTTCTTCCCTTTATGGCACAGGAGACCTCATTAGGAAAGGAGGTGGCAATTTTACCTGCACAGAAAAGTCAGCTTTGAGCCCAAAGAAATTTTCAGTGGCATTAGCTTTTGCCAACAAAATGTTCCAGGGTATAAACATTCATGAGTCCAAGCTCACTTCATCAGATACAAAGAGAGCAAAGGTTAATCTGTCTTTATATCAAGCAAAGTTGGAAGAGGAGTTGCAAAGAAGGGCCAACTGGATGCAGAGGTACAATGCAAAATTAATCAGATTGGTTCAAGCTGGGAGAGATGAACAGAGGTGGGAAATGCAGAAAATTAGCATCTGCAATGAGATGAGAATCCTGTGTCTTTATTCAGCCCTGGGGGGGGGGGGGGTCCATTGTCCCGAACTTGTTAATGAATTCTAGTTTGGCAGTCTTACATTATAATCTTCCTTTGAAACTGCTCCCATCTTCTGACCTGCACTTAGAGGTTGAGGGACCTTTATTCGATTTGTGTGATGAAGTCAGCTTTGACTGACAAAAGCTTATACCCTGGAAAATTTTGTTGGTCTTTAAGGTTCTACTGGGCCCAGGTTTGTTCTACTACTACAGACTACATGGCTACCCACCTGAAGATATCTTTTGCCAGTATTTTACATACCATGCAGGGTTAACACCCACCAGCATCACCATTTTCAAGGCAATTCTCTTGTGCAAATTCCATTTTTCTATTGATGTTGCCAAGCAAATTACTCCCATTAATAGCAGATGAAAGTCTTTGAAATAAGCAGACGCCACCTAAAATTAAAAGTCACTTTGTTAGTTAGATGTGTGCTTTTAAACTATCATAAAATCCAAGGTGCAGAATACACTGTACAATTTGTATAGGGAAGGTGTTTTGAAAACTAAGTGTATGAAATGGATTAGCAAAATAAAGAAATATAACCAATGCTACAACCCTCCTGTTTGCTCTTTAAAAACCACATGGGCCAGGAGTAGCCTATGAGATACAACTGAACTAATGATAAACTGGGAGAGTAAGGAAAAATGTAAAGATGGCTTTGTGGAGTCACAGTTTTTTGTTTTCCCTGTTTTGTTGTTAAAATATGGGTTATCATCCTAGAGTGGGTTTAAAAGATGAGTTATGAATGGAAAAGGTCACCACATGGTGATTTCCCCCTCCCCTTAGTCTTTCATTCTGAAATCTTTTGAAGATACCCACACAAGGCTTACAGTTAAACAGAGAATGAAGACAGCACGAGGGTTACCAACATAAATACACAAAATGGCATGGCTATCAAGAGCGTGGGCCTCCCTGCCACAACCAGGAGGGCTTGCTGCCCCACCAATGGACTAGTGCAGGGGTCATCCAGCTGCCATTTACAGTTAATCTACTGCTTGTGGTGGAATTATTGTCCAGCTTACCTTGTGGCTCAAATTAATTTACCTCAGTGATACTCCACCCTCTCCAGCTGATACCCAAAGTGGCTTACAGCATTCTCCTCTCCTTTGTTTTACCCTTACAAATACTCTGCGAGGTAAGTTAGGCTGAGATACTGTGACTGGCTCAAGATCACCCAGCAAGCTGCCATGACAGAGTGGGGATTCTAACTTGGGTCTCCCAGATCGCAGTCTGGCACTCTTAACCACAACACTGCTCTGGTTGTATAATATTAACATGGTAGTGTTTGGACCAGTGGTGGGCACAGCAAATGGCCACCAGCTGGAAAACCTGGAAGAAGAGCCTCCGCAGCTGATGTGCTCCACAGTACAGGACTCACATCAAGTGGGTAGGACCCCTAGACAGAGAGGCAGGGCCAAAGAACCTTTTCAAATGCTAGTTTATGAGGACTGGCAGATGGATAAGTTAAGCTGCACCATCTGTGTGCTCAGAGGATGGTGCTCAGAAGGAAGGAAGAAGAGGAGTTATGGAGGGGAGAAATAGTTGTATATATTGGCCTCTATCTTATCATCCACACACAGATTTTCCTATACGTCTCTTTGATCCTTCTGAGCCCTGGAAAGAATATTACTGAAGTGGCAGGACCTGTGCGGAGGGACAGCTATGTGGGTCAAGGAAGTGTTGTGAGGAGAGGGGTGAAATGGTATCTTCTGTGTCTTCCACAAGTGCATTTTCTTTGATGGAAGAAGAGGATGGAGCAATTTCAGCTCTTCCTCTCTTTTTTTCTGCAGCCCCAATGGCTATTCCTTTGCATGGGTCCACTGTCCCCAGATTCAGAATGGGCTGCTTGATAATCCAAGTAGATTCTGGTGGTAAACAAAGCAGCAGCTTCAAAATATGGAGTCTCTCTGTCTCTCCATATTTACCAGAAGTCCTGGGGAATGGTGTGAAGGTATATGATGCAGCAACATTACTGAAGCTAAGTAGGTCTGGTCTTGGTCAGTGCTTAGATAGGAGAAAACATGGGAACCCTCAATGAATTGGATAGACACTCTGCTAAAAGTAATGTTTTATGTTACCCAGTCAAGGCATACAGAAATGTGGCCACTGTGATCAGTCATGAAGGAGCTCTCAAATTTGTGGGTAGATTCAGCTAACTTTTTGAGAGTCTCATATAACTATATGGCTAATCATCCAAGACCATGATGGTATCTTACTTTGGAAATGGCAATGGTGGAAATCCTTAGGGGGGAAACCCATAAATGGTGGTAGTAATATGACCTTAAAATTGCTAATGGCATCACTATCCTTAAGAATGTTCTCATGGACTAGCTGTTTAAAAAGATTTAAGTAGGGTTTGCCAGCCGTCTGGCAACCAGTGGGGACCTAGGGGGCATTCTGGGTATGAAGGCATTATTTCACTTCAAGCAAAACACCCACAAGTCACACCACTTTTGTGTCTTCCTTGAAGGTGATGTAATGCAATCACATCAATGGCAATTTTCCCCCCTGTCGCAGCCTGAGCTGGGAGCTATAGATGAATGTGGGTAAATGGCATCCCTAGCTTCAAGGCCTTGTAGGGTTGCCAAGTAAGAACTGAGCCGCAGCGGGGGACTCCCGGCTGGCGGCTGGAGCGCATGCACGCCATAGAGTTTTTCCTCGGGTGACCGTGGCACCACCCCTAGTGTGCCCGGCGTGCCCGCGTCACTTCTGGGTGACGTGCACATTGGGGTGGAGTCCCCCCCAGGGCCCGATCCGCCGGCGGCGGGGAACGGGCCTCTGGGGTGGGGGTTTCCCCGCCCCCCGGGGGGACTTGGCAAGCCTAAGGCCTTGTAGTACTAGAATTTATAGAAACTGCATTGTATACTACTGTTCCACGTTTGGAATATCAAACATACGAACAAATAGGATAGCAGAATGGGAAAAAATAGGAATCTTACCTCTTTGGAAGCCATAATTCCAAACATTGGGAACATTAAGGCAGGGAGTAGAGCTGAAACAGCCAGGGGCAATGCTTCAGTAAGCCAAAAGATTGCCACCACAAACAATGTGTATGCACATTCCGCTTCCTAGAAAACAGAAAGGTAATTAAAAGCCAAATTAGATTTACATTGAAGAGAACACTAGCAATCAAAACACAGAGAGTGAAAAAAAGAAAAAAACTCCCAATCAATATAATAATGTTTTACTGTACTATTATAATGTTTAGTAGGAGAAGCCACAATTGTAGACTGGAATCTGGAATAGCAATCCTCAGTGTGGCATCCATGGATGCCATGGTACCTGCCAATGTGTTTCTTCATGCATACTTGCCTCTTGAATTTTTAAGATAAAAATCCAATGGGTCTTGAATGGAAGGGGGTGTGGGGGGGAAACAGGGAGCTTTGGGTTTCTCCAGCCTAGAGAACTGACAAGCAAAGCACTGAGCACAGCCAGGGCAGGTGCACCGCAACCATGCACCCTCAACACAGACTTTTGTATGTCTCTGAGTTATCCAACCTCTTCCTGTGGCGCGATTCATCGATTCCTCGTTTAAGCACATGGGAAACAAACAGCATAAAAAACCCCACGACTCATCCACTGTTGCGTCTGATCACACACTGACAGGCTGACCCACAGCTTCAATGGGAGGTGTGATCTCTCAACTGCAGGTCAAATTCCTCCAAAGGAAATAGCCTTGCTCCCCCCCCATTTTAATTGGCATGTGTGATCGCACCCTAAGAGTTGCAAAGCTGTTAGGCAATATCACTTTTGAAGATATTTAACAGTGCCAGTAGAGCTGGGTTTGTCTATGTTTGACACAAGTTACATCTCCTAAGTACTATTCTAACTAGTTCCTTCTTTTTTTTTTTTTTTTGCTTTCTTTTGCTCCAGGGGAAATTATTTCTTACTGCTGGCACAGACATACACCACTCTACTTTCACTTCTCTTAGGATACCCCTAATAGTTATTCCATTTGCAACAATCACCCTAAATATACTTAACCCTACATTTGCATGCCGTACAGCAATAGATATGATATAGCCTTGCTAGAAGTTATTGCCAGTTCTGAAATGCAGGATTAATTTCATTTCAAAAACTCACATGTCGCCACCTCTAGCGTATCAAGCCATATAATATAAACCAAATCGCCACTCTTATCACTTAATTTTTTAAATTATTTTTAACATATACAATATAAACAACATTTTCAATATGATGTACAGGTTCAGTGGTACAACCATTAAACATTGTGTAAACAACATAATTCTAGTGCACACTCAGTAGTAATTTGTAAGGAAGGAAGACTGTTAGCATTTGCTCAATAAAATGCAGTATCTATATATTTCTTTGGAATAGCCCATTTCTTGTTCGGTGATTTTGTAATGTAATCAAAAAAGGGGAACCATTTTTCAAGAAACTTGGGAAGTTTTTGATTGCTGTTAAATGATACCAGTTGGGTAGCCAATTTATCTGAAACTGCTAAGTCCCACACTTTCATGAACCATTGAGTCAAAGTTGGTGATTTTTTAGATTTCCAATTTTAGCGATTAGAGTCTTTGCGGCAATAAGGAAAATCAAGAGAAGATCAGTTTTGTTACTGAGATAATTATAAGATGGCCAGTAGTTTAGCAGTATAGATTCTGGTGTGAAAGGGATTTCGATATTTAATATTTGTTCAGAGTATCTTACTATTGTTTTCCAAAACATCATTATTGCAGGGCAGTCCCACCAACAGTGATGAAATGATCCGAGTTGTCCACATCCCTTCCAGCAGTGTGGATTTAGTGTAGGTATTATATGAGTTAAGCGAGTTGGTGTTAGGTACCATCTCGCGTGTAATTTAAAGTTCTGTAGCCTAATGTTGAGTGCAGGAGTTGAGAATAGATGGTTGGACCAAATAGATTGCCATTGTTTGTTATCCAGTGTTATGCCACAGTCTTTACTCCATGCATTCTGTATTGTTGTTGGCTGCTCCCATGATTGTTCATTTAACAATTGATATAACATAGAGATAAGGCCTCTAGCTGATTGATTGTTTTTTATGAATGAAAGATTCAAATTAAGTATGAGGACGAGTCAACAAATGTGTGGTATCAGGGTTAGTAATGAAATGTCTAATTTGAAAGTATTGCATCCAGGTAATCTTGGAGTCAAATTTTGTTTCCAATTGTGTTTTGGTGAGAATTTGTTTTTTATGGAAAAGGTCTCCCAACCTAAAATGTCCTTTTTCTTTCCAAATAGAAAAGGTAGAGTTACATAGACCTGGTAGAAACCATTTTTGTCTTAGAAAGACTGTTAATGGTGATGTCGGTGGAGCTAGTAATTTACCAAATTTGTCCCAAATTTCTAGGGATAATTTTAAGAATGGATTATGAGGTTCTATAAATTTTCTGTGTCTAGAGAATGACCAAATCGTTTCAAAAAGGGCCCCTGACTGTAAGTTGTCTTGTTTGATATGTACCCAATCTTTAGATATCTGTGGTTGAGCATAAAAAGCTATGGTCTTCAGTTGTGCAGCCAGATAATATTTCTCTAAGTCGGGGATGCCCAACCCACCTTTTTTCGTTGGTTTAATCAGAGTGCTGTAGCTAATTCTTGATTTCTTATTTGTCCAGATACATTTTAAAAAGATTCTGCGCCAGAGGTTAAAAGATTCTCTAGATATTTTAATGGGTAAGTTTTGAAAAAGGAAGAGGAATTTTGGGAATATAAAAGATTTTAACAAGTTGATTTTTTTTAATAGTGAAAAATTTTGCTTATTCCATTTTTCAAATGTGTTTTTAGTTTCCATAACAAGTGCAGTGAAATTGGAATCAAGAAGATGAGAAAGTTTTAAAGGTAAGTGTATACCCAGATATTTCAGTGTCTTTTGTACCCATTTAAAGGAAATGTAGTTGTTAAGGTGTGTTGTTGTTTACTATGTAAGTATATAGGGTATATTTCAGATTTTGTATAATTGATTTTGAAACCTGATACTTTGCCAAAGTTTTCAATTTGATGTAATAATGGGGGAAGAGTTAATTCAGGATTGGTGATATAGAAAACTACGTCGTCTGCAAAGAGACTGAGTTTATATGTTTTATCTTGTATCACCATTCCAGTAATTTGGTTGTCATTTCATATTACATGTGCTAGGGGTTCTAAAAAAAGCGCAAAGAAAATAGGGGACAACCTTGTCAGGTTCCTCTTGAGAGAGTCAAGGGGTTTTATCTATAACTGTTTGTTACAATTTGTGCTAAGGGATTATTATATATGGCTGAGAATGAGTTCATGAAATATGGTCCAAAATCCATGTGGTGGAGAATGGCTTGAAGAAATGGAATCTCTACTCGGTCAAACACTTTTTCAGCGTCAAGCGCCAAGATTAGGGAGGTGATTTTGTGAGACTGGCCATAATTAATGAGGTTTAGAGATTTTCTGATGTTGTCTGTAATTGAGCAATTTGGAATAAATCCCAATTGATCGGAATGTATATAGTTGTGTATTATTAAGTTTAATTGTTGGGCTAGCCCAAAAGAAAAAAGTTTGAAGTCGTTATTCAGTAACGAAAATGGGTCTGTAACCTGCTGGATCTAGTTTGTCTTTGCCAGGTTTGTGTAGTACAATGATCTTAGCTTCAGACCATGTTTTAAGTAGTTGTTTCTGTTGCATGACATTATTGCAAGTTTCAACTAATTCTGGAGCTATTGTGTCTGCAAATTTTTTATAGAATTCGGTTGGTAGCCCATTATTTCCTGTGGCTTTGTTTGTTTTTGCTGAAGAAATCATTTTTGTAAGTTCTGGTATGGTTATTGGTTGCTCTAAAAAGATTTGTGTTCATTTGTTAACTTTAGATTAAAATTTATAGACTTCAGATATTGATCGAACTGTAGATGGCCTTTCTGCTTACCCCACAATTTGTGTTAAATTTAAAATATTCTTTGATGGATGTTTTTATTTCTTCAACATAGGCCCCGGTCACATGGGCAAGAAAACTGCGGGGGGGGGAAGCGTGGCTGTTTGCCCTGGGGCACAATACCGCGCGGCTGCGGGATCAGATGAAGGGGGCGGAACGAGCCGCGGCCTCTGGGAGGGCCATGCAAAGCCCACTTCGGACAGGGTCCGTGGGCCGCTCACAAAGAGGGGGAGTAACCCACCAGATCCCCCCTCCCCACCAGCAGCCCTCCCTCCCTCCCCGGGACACGCGGCCCGCTCTCCGCCTGGCCGCTGCCGCTCACCCTCATCGCAGCCTCCCCAGTCCTCCCTCGACCCCAAGGACGCCTTGCGACAATGTGAGCATGCGCTGTTGGGCGCTTCCGGAAGCATGGGGGGAACAACCCGGCAGGCACCGGATGCCACGGGAGTCGGCAGGGGCGCGATCAGGTGCCCGCTCTTGCTGCACAGTTCCCGGAAACTAGTACCTTGGAGGTACTAGTTTTTTACTGTGCGGCATCGGCGGGAAGCCTCTGGTGAGCCATGGGAGCTCTACGCTCCCCAGATGTTGCAGCGAGATCGCGCCCGGAAAGTCCGCCTATCTTCCGTTGATCCAGCGTTGCTAATGCTCCGTGTGACCGCAGCCATAAGTATCTTTTTGTAATAATAATTTGTTGAGGGTCCACGAAGGATCTTTACTGTCTGCTGTTTGCGATGCTACTGCGCATGAGAGCCAAGCGTGATCAGAAATAGTTTTTACTCCAATCTCTGAGAAAGATATTTGATTTAATAGTGATTTTGATACTAATAAAAAATCTATACGGATGTAAATGTTATGTACAGAAGAGAAATAAGTAAATTATTTGTCTCCTGGTTGTTGTTCTCTCCAGACATTTCCTAGTTGAAAATGTTCTAATATATTAAACAACTCTGTGATTTTACCAAATTGCCACTCTTGAACAAAGGTCAGGGTTGTAGTACAGTTTGATTGCCCAATACAGAGAGTGAATATGGGGTCACCATGAACTTCTATTTAAGATGTGTACTAAGAAATATGGATGATTTACTTTTACTTTTATATCTAGGGTTGTCAGGTTTGGGTTGGGAAATACCTGGAGATTTTGGGGGTGCAGTTTGAGGAAGATGGGTTTGGGGGGAAGGAAAGGACTTCAAT